ATCTAAATGTGATGGACTCCTTTTTGTCCCCGAGGTCTCTTCTCTGCGCCTTGTTCGTTGCTGGCACATTTCTGACTCCAAGTTTTCTCTGCTGTTGTCTGCATAGCCCAGGTGCTCTTTCCTTCCCTGTGTAACAGTCCTTGATCTATTTAACTACTTAGGCTTCAGCCAACTTTCCACCTCCCCAGTAGTATTCCTGATTAAGGCTGAGAGAACAACCTCACTGCCTCGTACACAGGATCCCCAGCACCAGGGAGCCTGTCCTCTTGGAATGTTCACAGAAGCTTGTCTTTTACTCCTGTTTTTTTACACATTACTACAGGGTCAGCTTCAGGGCACATGTGACCTGAGCGTTTGCACAGAGCCCTGTCCTTAGCCTGGTTTAATGTGCTGCTGTCACAGTTTTGAAAGTCTAATTGTTTTAACAAGAACCTCACGTTTTTGTTTTATACTCGGTCTCACACCTTACCTGTCCAGTCCTGCATAATCAGCCACACATATTAGTGTGAACTAATAACTACATCATACATTTGATTATAAAGTGTATATATATATATATTTAGTAGTAAGTTAGAAGTGTCTATTTGCTGTGGCTGCTTCATTTTCAGAACCAGCCAAAGCAAATAGACACTTCTAACTTACTACTAAAAATGGAAGCTCACCAGCTATTTTAAAGCTTTTTGGTGCCTCTTTTCATGAAGAAATGCTTGGTAAAGATAAGAGACCAAGAATAACTAAATGTCATCACTTTCTATCAGAGCAATGAAGCACTGATAAGAAAAATCCATGAAACTTTTCTTTAAAGATGTTAAAATCAGTAGCAATGGAAATTAGCAGTTGTGCCTAGACCAAGGGGTTGACACTTAAGAGCAATTAGATTACATCTATAGACCTTTTTTGTGGACATGAAAACCTTTACTGAAACTGTAAACTTTACCATCACTGACAGTGCATCCTTTAGGGTGAGGCTAGAGAGCCTTCCTATTGAAGGTTCCTGAAAATGTCAGATAAAGTTCCTATAATGGGTTGCCTGGTGTATCCCTCAAAAGGTATGTTTCACTCCTAACCCTGGGTCACTGTGGAAATAGGGTCTTTGAAGATCTAATTAAGATGACATCATACTGGATTAGTATGGGTCCTAAATCCCAAGGCTGGTAGCCTTTTAAGAAGATGACAGAGACACTCGAAGGCGGTGATATGAAGACAAAGGCAGAGATTGGAGTGGCGTGTCTACAAGTCAAAGCCTCCAGGACTGCCAGCAACCACCAGAAACCAGGAGACAGCTGCAGAGCAGTTTTTCTTTCTGAGCCTCCGGGAGAAGCCAACCCTGCCCATACCTTTATTTCAGACTTCCAGCCTTCAAAACCACGAGCAAATAAATGAGTGTTGTTTTAAGCCACCAAGTTTGTGGTCATTTGTTATGACAGCTTTAGCGTAAAGTACTTTTTAAAAGCTGGGGAGAAACGTGTGAAATCTAAATCTAAATCATCCATTTACTTTTTCAACAAATGAGAAACATGAACCCGTATTGGCTACAGGATAGAACACATTAAAAGAAATAGCAACCATTAGGCTTTATTCATTTTCTCTTACATATAATCAATGAGAGAAGAAGAAAGGGGTGGTAGAGAAAAGACAAAGATCAGCATGGAGAAGAGAGGGTAGAAAATAAAAAATAGAAAAAGCTAGACACAAAAATACAAGATAAGGGAGAGGCACAAAAAGATAATAATAGAGGCTAACATCAAATAAATACTTACTAGGTGCCAGAAACTCTGGTAAGTGACCTGTATGTATTCTTTCAACCTTGCAACACTTCCATGTTGTAGTGAGGGAACTGAGGCAGAGAGAGCTGAGCTTTTTGCAAGAGCATGGCGCGGCCAGGTGTACTACTCAGGCTAAAGCTACCTCATCACCGTGCTAAGTGTGGGGAGGAAGCAGAGCAAGGCAGACTGCCAGGGCTCTGAGGATGGTTGGCCTGATGATTTTCAGAGCTCAGCCGTAAGGTGTTATTAGGGTGGACCACTCAAAAGAGAGCTGTTCCAGCTACAGCAGAGTGCCGCTTTAGATCAGCTAGATAAACAGAGATGGCAGTTATAAAACGAGCTAAATAACTGAGTGGTTTTTCTCTTGACAAACAGCTTTCATTTTAGAGGGGACTGTTAATTTCACCATTCCTCCAACAAATACCTCTCAGTGCCTAGTAGGTACAAGTAACCCTAGGAAATCCAGGCTTTACATTAGCAAAAATTGCATCAGCTTCACTGCATGCAATGAGGTGCAACTATCATTTGGTTCCCAAAGCTTTTGTTCTCAGAGCTGAATTTTGCTTTGCTTAGTTAGAAAAGCTTTATTGGAGAAGTAAAGGCAGTGACTGTGGGCTTTCTGAGAGAATGGAGCACAAGTTTCCAACTTAGGGAGTGTTGGGGGTTTCTATTCATTCCTCTCGACAAAGTTCCTGGGCAGAGCAAAGGAAAGGGCGTTTTACCTGGGGTTATAGTCCTGACTGGGGCAAACAGTCTTGTTATGGGGTGAGGCGACTAACTCTACTGGCAGATTCGAATGTCAGGTAGGAGGCCTCTAGACAAAAGTGCAGACAGTGCCTAGCAAAGCCTATTGGCTGACGAGCATGAACATGTGACTTTTTTTTTATTGAATGCTTACTACATGCCATGCACATAATGGCCTCAGATATCAACCTGAATTACAAATCAAGAAAGCTTCAGAATAAAGCTCATTAGAAGTTAATGTAAATACAAAGCCAATGTAAAATTAAGGTCTGAAACACAAATTCCAAGCAGTTAGCAGGGAACTAGGATAAGAATTTTCTTCCTTTAATTAGTTGAGGCTTGTCCCTAAAAACCTGTCACTGTATTTATAGCGTGAGCCTGCTTTTTGAAGGTTCTTCCAAAGACCTTGTAAAGTTTCGACTTAGAGTTAGTTGCTGGTAAGGCGTGGGGAGACTGAGGGTGGAAAGGGCAAGGAAGGACAGAGGGGATGCCTCATCCGGTCCCTGCCACTCATTCTTAGGGACAGTGGCACCAACAGTACCACTGAATGTCACAATCAACTGTCACAGCTACTTGGGGGTCTGCTAAGTTTCAAAGCTGTCTATTTAAAACATGGAAGACAAACGCTCCTGTGTGGCTGGTGCACGTCTCTTGAACAACTTGTCTATTTTGTGCCTTTTCTTCTTTCAAGAGCTGTAACAGTGAAGAGCTATTGAGTTTTTAAGCAAATATTAAAAGAGCTGCTGGTGTTTTCCAGTGATAATAGATTTTGTTAGCAACGGTACTACTTAAAAAATAGGAGTTGACTATCTTTTTGTTTTAAAATGTCTTACGATTATTTTTCCATCCAGGGATCTAACATGAAAAGGACTGAAATTAGTTTTGAAAGTATTAACTAAATATATGTGTGTGTTTTGAAACACAAGCTCAGACACAGAATATACATGGACAAGAGACCATGCAAACATGTTACAGTACAGCATAATTCCAATTTCTTAAAGCCAAACGAATTGGAAATTTCAAGAGGAAGGAAAAGAATTCACAAGTCCATGAAGATCCATCTTTTCATCACTAGCTGTGTATCCACAGTATGCAAAAAAATTCAAGGATTTCTGCTAAAAATCAGAAAAACATTTTAAGTCCCCAAAAAATTAATGAGGATAAAAATGGAAAACACAGTAAAATAAAAAGTTAAGGGGCTTTTAATGCTCCAAATTAGACCTGTCAATATTCAGCGAGGGGAGAAATATGAAAAGCTTTGGCATAAAAGAGGACCTATGCAATTCTTCACCCTGATGCTAAGTATGCAGGGCTGTATAATTCCATTCCTCAGTTCAATTATAGCTTGCAACTGCCTGAGCTGCTGGCTTTCTAAAAACAGATGCAGGGAAACAGACCAAACTAACACCAATGTATATTTAATAGACGAGTATTTGTCCTTAGGAAGGACTGGAAAGCAGCACAAGAAAATCAGTTTCCCTCGTCACCTCTGGCAAAAGGGTTATCTAATTCCAAGAGTCACTTGGGTTACTGACCCTCAAGGAAACATGCATTTTTTAAAAAGAAGGCAATTCACATTTGCTTCTCCTGCCTACTGTTTTCTTCCTGGAACCTCCATCTCCATTCTCCCCAACTTTCAAATGGCCAGCTCATGTTTTTGGGGTGAAGCCTCTGACTCGCACCTGTCCCTCCGTGCCTCAACTGCAATTCAAACTGGGCAACTTGGCAACAGCATCTCTTCCCACCCCTTCTTGGAAAACACATTTGGGCAAAGGAAACAGGCCATCATTTTCTGATGGCAGGCCCCTTCTACAAGTACCAGTTTGAAACGAAGATAGCGGCCTTTCCAGTTTATAAATTCACACGGGAAATTCCACTTACTAAACCCCCACCAGGTTTCCAGATCTTCTTGTTTGGTCTGGTGAGCAGGATAAAGGCTGTGACCAAGGGTGCCTCCCGCCTCCCCGGTACCCAGAGCACAAACAAAAGCTACTGGATGGCATCTCTTGTCATCATTTGATTTCACAGCTGTCCATGCATAAAGGAAAGGAGTTAGCATCATTGCTAAAACAAAAGACAAAACACAAAACGAGAAACAGGCAACTGTTTTCCCTTGCTAGGAGACAGCAATACTCTTTACTGAGTGGAAAGTACTGCTCGGCTCTCACCAGGACATCTCTGACCTAGCGAGGCTGCGCAAGCTGTGTGTTACTTTCACTGGACCTGGGAACGCAAAGTGTCAATGGGCCCAATTCTCCAGAACGAAGTCAACATACAGATAAGGTGTTTCTAGGCATAAGCACCGAGCAGACCTGCTTTCTGAGGTCTCCAGTGTGAATGGATAGAGAGCAGTGGTGTGAAGCTTATAGCTAAATGTAGAAAGCAAAGGAATTCGCTCTCATGACTTTACAATCAGAAACCAGATGGAAACGATACACGGTACCTCTCCACCCGCCCTTTATAACAGAAGGAATGCAGAAGCTTGCTTACCTTAAAGTTGTGTGTCTTCTCGTAGTTGAAGTGGTTGTCGTTGTGTGTGAGGGCTGCCCTTCGAACCAGGGAGGAGATCTGTGAACAGGCAAAGAGCTTGAGAGGGGGCCAAAGAAAGCCGCCTCTGACACCCACCTTCACCCCCCAGGCTACGGCCAGCAGTTCTTGCCGTTTCCTGCCCTGCTTCGACTTCCGAACCACAGCACACTTTTTCTCGTTTTCCAGCCACAGTTCTTGAGAGAACATAGTGCCTGGATCTCAGATCTTTCTAGTTTCCTCTGCAGAGCCCGGGAAGCCCCGTGCTGTCAGGTTTTTCGAACCGCAGCTAATGTTAGGCAGCAGATTTGAGGCAGCTGGGTCCTGTCCGCAGCAGCCTCCGGCATGTGACCTGGAAGGCTCAGTTTGAGTGATGGAGGGGGTTCGGCTTCTGAATAAGGACAGGCCTGTTTTGTGCTATGTCTTAAGGCCGATGTGTGCCTGGAACAATAGCAAACATTCATGTGCACAGCAACCCCCAGAAGCGGCATCCAGTCAGCCGTTGAGGATTCAGAGCAGGGGCTGGCAGCTTGCTTTCTACTGCCGCAGCACATTGCAAAGGAGAGGTCTCTCCTACTTATTAGCACATTTCACACTCAAACACACCAGCGCACCCCCCACCCCAGCCAGCTCTGATGTTCAAAGGCTGAGGCTGCATCAAATTAATCTGGGGCTCTGAACCCCATCCTGGGCTGAACTCCAACAGATTAAACCTTTAAACCCTGACGACTGTTTAATCTTATAGGAGTAAAGCCTATGTCTCTTTATTAAAAATCTGCCTTAGCACTTGAAAGCTTAATTTTTATTCTTACGCATGCATTAAATTGGAACAGTTTGAGCACCAAATGGGGTATCAGAGGAGAGCAAAGCTTTTCCACTCTGAGTTCTGCAAAGTTGCAGAATAAGAGGCAGGATGTCTTCCCCCAGGGCATTCCCTGAGCTCTCCTCTCCTTCCTGCACTAATAAACTCTGCTCAGATCCACAAAGACAAGACAATATTCCTCACCTAAAATCAAGACGTCGTAGTTGCTTTTCTTTTAAATAAAACATCTTCCATGTTCATTCTGTTAGTTCCCAAGCCTATAAAAATGCCCTCTTGGCTCTTAAAAGCATGGTCTGTTTCATGGTCTCTAATGACCAAAATTCTTTGGTCCTAGGTCTCCCCATGAAAAGCAGCAGGGAAATCCTGATGTCTTGGGAGTACTCCTGACTCATTGGTGAAGTTTAATGCAGCTAATGCCCGGCAGTAAAGTTAATGCTTTAGGAACCAGAAAACAAGAACGGGATAACTAGGCCTTTATGTAGGGGGGCAGTCTGTTCTCTACTGGAACAGAGCCCCACGCTCCAGCCCCTCCATCAGCCTTGCGAAGAGTAACCAAAGATCACTCCTTCCCTTGTGTAATTCTTTACTCCCAGTAATCACCATTATTTTAACTTGGTTCAGAAGTTCATCCTCCCATTTCATCCTCTTGTTACCTTCAATAATAACAGCCAATTTTTATGTTATGCTATTGAGCACAATAACTTAGGTTGTGTCAGAGGATGTTAGAATGTGTCAAATGCACTTAACTCGTTTAATCTGCAGCATATGGGTGTGAGGAGCAAGATTCTTATTACCAGTTCTTTTGGATGAAGAGATTGAGGCACTGAGAGGTAAAGTAATCTGCCCAAGGACATGCAGCCTGGTTTAAATGGCAGAACCAGGACTAGAACACAAAGCAGCTATATCCCGCGCCCACGCTCTTCAACCGTGTCCTGCTGCCTCGGTACACCCATGTGCTGCCTCGTCCTGCCATCAGTCCTGACAAATGCTTTATCTCAGATATTGGTTGAGTCTGGCCTCTCCCTACCATTCTTTCCCCGTGTAACTCGGGCCCTTGTTATCTCTCCAGTCCACGTTACACACAGCTGCATGACAGCCTTACTAATCCGCCCATGCTTCTCCATGGCTTAACTGTGTCCTGGCATTGCTGGTTTTTCATGAGCTGATCCTAATATACCCAGCTCACCCTGTTTTCCTATACTCTTCTTTACAAATCCCACAGAATCTCTTCTGTGACATACTTAGCTGCTCACCTGGTAGCTTGCTCTGTTCTTTAGACTGTTCTAGCGTCCTTTCCACATATCTACATTTTCATCAGCATTTGCATCCTAACTCAAATGCTACCCTTTCCAAAAGGACGTCCCCAAACTCTCCATTGAAGGCCAGCTGTGTCCTCTGAAATCCCATAGTGTTTTATCAACATTTTTCTGAATGCACTTGTCACTTTGTCTTGTATTATAGTGACGATAATCGCTCTTACCCCTGCCATACTGAGAACTCACTGTGACATGCTCTATGCCTAATTCACTTTTGTTTCCCACTACAAAAGTGTCTAATAAGAGTCCTTGCCACAGTACACACTGAATAAGTATAAGGAAGCCAGCGTTGCGGAAGAAGGTGTGCAAAGATGACTGCATGGTGTGGGCTCCTCTGTCCTCCTGTGACCACCCATCCACCGCGTTAGTTCCCAAAGTCAAGGTTCACTCCAGGGGTCGACCCTCTTAATGGGCCTCACCAGGCTCCTTGACCCTTCTTCCTGTTGTCTGATTCTGAAGGACAGCTGCTGGCGGGGGTTAAGTGACGGCTTGGCATCCCTTTGAAGGGCTTCCTATCCTTAGTCTACAGGTAAAAAGATAGAAGCAAAAAGGGTTCTTTCCCAACCTTCACTGCTAGCAAGGCAAGAGAGACCTTTTGACAGTGAGTCATTTGTGTAAGAGCAAATTCTGTGACATGGATTGGACTAATGACATGAGTATACTAGTTTTAGAATCTGATAAAATAACTATTCACATGGAAAGTGGGCAAAAGAATCTCCTCCTTTTGGTCTGTGGGTGGTTGAATACAATGAGATTTAACTTTCTCATGTCTGTGCTTGTACGTATAACAAGTAATTTTTATTTCCATTTGTGACAGTGATTCCTTTTTCAGATATTGATTCAATAGAATTTACCCAAACACAAGACACATTCAGATAAGTGAAGGAACCACACACTATTCCCTTAGGATGCTTCTTTACAGGGGACTAGAACCATTACCCTTGGAATGGGCATTACTGTGAGCCGTGTGGGTGACCTCAGATCACCCTCTTATTAAGGGAAAACTCATTACAGTAATCTCTTGGTGAAAACTTCCCTCTGAAATAACCCCATCACGCAGAGCTCTTCTTCAGCTCAGCTCCTCAAGGGCAGCTCCTTGTCTTCTTTTATATGCTCCACAATGTCTATTACTCTCTATACACAGTGAACATTTAATACATTTGCTGACTGTCTTCTTCTAACAAAAAATTCTATCTGACCTATTTTAATATACACATTCATGAGATGAAGCACATTTCCCTCTACACTCTGTCTGAACCAGGGATTCTCACAGGAACCACTGCTCTTTTGGGCTGGGGAATCTTTTGCTGTGGAGGCTGTCCTGTACATTGCAGGATGTTCAGTGGCATTTTTTGCCTCTATTCACTAGATGCCAGTAGAGCCCCTTCCCCCAATTATGATAATAAAAAAATGTGTCCAGCCATGGCCAAATATTCCCTGGGAAGCAACGCTGCCTGCAGTTGAGAATACTGGGCTACACTAATAACATAAATATTAATATTTATATCATGCTATGTGCCAGATATTCTACTCAGTGCTCTGTCTCCAAAATTATATAAATATATTATTATATATTACACACACGTGCATGCACGTGCACACACACACACACACACACACACACATTTTTTGGAGACAGTGACTCCCTCTGTCACCCAGGCTGGAGTGCAGTGCTGTGATCTCAGCTCACTGCAACCTCTACCTCCCAGGTTCAAGTGATTCTCCTCAGACTCCCGAATACCTGGGACTACAGGCATGTGTCACTGTGCCCAGCTAATTTTTGTATCAAGACAGACAGGGTTTTGCCATGTTGGCCAGGCTGGTTTCAAACTGCTGACCTCAAGTGATCCACCCACCTCAGTCCCCCAAAATGCTGGGATTACAAGTGTGAGCCACAGCACCTGGCCCACTTTTCATATTTTGACTCATTTAAGAATTAAACCCTATGAGGTAGGTACTGCTCTAATTATTGTTATTTTACAGATGAGGAAATAAAAGCTGAGAGTTGAAGTGACTTGCACGCGGCCACATAGATGGGAAGTGGTAGAATATGGGCACAACTGAGTCTATCTTTCCCCGAAGCCCTGAAGAACAAGTTTCTTTCTTTCTACTACATGTAACATAAAATTGATCATTTTCACTATTTAAAAACGTAAAATCCAGTGGCACTTAAGGCATTTACAATGCTCTACAATGATCAGCATGCCCTAGGTCCAGAACATTTCATCACCCCAAAACGAAACCCTGTACCCATCAGTACTCACTTCTCATTCTCTTCTTCTCCCAGCCTCTGGCAAACACCAGTCTGTTGTCTGTCTCTATGAATTTGCCTATTTTGGATATTTTGTATAAAGGGAATCACACAATATATGGCTTCTTATATCTGGCTGCTTCTTTTTTCTTTCACATTTCAAGGTTCATTTTTGCTGTGGCTTGTATCAGGACTTCATTCATTTTTATTGCTGAGTAACAACCTGCTGTATGGATATACCACATTTCATTTCCACTCGTTAGCTGATGGACATTTATATGGATATACCACAGTTCATTTCCACTCGTTAGCTGATGGACATTTATATGGATATACCACAGTTCATTTCCACTCGTTAGCTGATGGACATTTATATGGATATACCACAGTTCATTTCCACTCGTTAGCTGATGGACATTTATATGGATATACCACATTTCATTTCCACTCGTTAGCTGATGGACATTTATATGGATATACCACAGTTCATTTCCACTCTTTAGCTGATGAACATTTATATGGATATACCACAGTTCATTTCCACTCGTTAGCTGATGGACATTTATATGGATATACCACAGTTCATTTCCACTCGTTAGCTGATGGACATTTATATGGATATACCACAGTTCATTTCCACTCGTTAGCTGAT